AAAAAACGTAATGATAAACTTGCATTATAAGAACTGTTTATCTATTTCAATTGAGGTTAACAGTGATTTTTAATTGGAGCACCACATTGTGCAAAATGAGCCCCGATAGGGACCAAAATTATTTTAAATAGATTTTTCTTGTAAAACATAGAAATTTCAGTGGTTTTTAACGGAAAAAATACCTTTCTTGAAGTAAGTAACTATTACTCTGATATTTATACATAGCGCAATACTACAAAAAAGAATGCTAACATAGAACGTTCCCGTGAAGTTCTTCAAGACGTACAAGGCAGTAAAATTGCAGTAAATTTATTGAGGTTCAAACAGCTTTCGCAAATGCCTTTGCTTTATATTCAAACCAATTTTCTTATTGAAAAACGAAACAATACCCTCTTAATAACAATTCTGACAAACAACACTAAAATGACTTTCTGTATAAAACTTCCACGTGACCAAGAAGTTGTTTTTTTTTTTTCTGATGGACGTGTTTAGCAGTAAGCTGTTTTTATTGCATTAGGTTGGCACGATTTTTTATTGCATTTCAGATGATCACCAAAAGGGTTGAGACATTTGGCAAGTAATTTGGAATCTGCCAAAAGGACATTCAAGTAAAGCTATTAATTTGCCTAGATTGAATGTACCTTGGGAACTCTAAGGTCATTAATTTCACAAGCATGTCTTTATAAAGTTTCATTTTTAAATTTTGTACCGAAATCTCCACGCGTGACATCGCAGATTTCTTAGTGTACTTCTTGCATTTTGCGACATTGGCTCAATGGAATTTCATAAAACTTGGCATGGTAATTCTACAGCCTGTTCAGAAGACAGTGCATTTCATTCTTACCTCTAGGATCTATGTATGAACCAGTATACGCTGTCGAAATCTATGAAGTAACTGCATTTGGTGCGGCAATTCTAAGGAGGCGTCACAACTAGCGTTTTTCTGCGTGCAACTTTTTGATTGATTGATATGTGGGGTTTAACGTCCCAAAACCACCATATGATTAGAGACGCCGTAGTGGAGGGATCCGGAAATTTTTGACCACCTGGAGTTCTTTAACGTGCATCCAAATCTGAGCACACGGGCCTATATCGTGCAATTTCTTGCTTTCCAAGCGTCCTCTCACGGTAAGAGAAATGTTTTTGGTGTTGCTAAACTGTTGTTTATGAACACTCAAAAATAAGTTTTGCCTTGATATTGTGCCATTGAATGATGCTTGGTGTCATGACGTGGCAGGTCCTTTGTACTATGTAATGAGTGTAACGAAGTGGGAAATTTACGTCTATACCTACGGGAAGCACACTTCAATTAAAGTGCTGTCTACCAAACATAAATGATGCAAGCTGATTGCCCCTTCCAGAAGAGAATGTTGCGGTCGGAGTGCATTTTGTGAACGCACTTTGCTGCCTCTGATGCATGAATCCCTTCCAGTATAGACTTGAAATGCTTGCATAAAAGGAAGCTGTGATTTCGGCTTCGAAAAAACATGACCTACTGTTGCTATTAGTGTTTCTATATGAAACAACCACATTTCTACCTTTTTGTTTTGCTTTTTTCGTCTGAATTTACGAAAAGCATGCTCACAGACTAGTCACCATTTCTTCTTTGCTATACCAGCGCATCGTGTTTTCCTGTTTAGCGCTGTGCACAATAGAACGTCTCTCGGTGTTCCGGAGCTTATTCTGCATAGTTGCAGTTAAAAGATGGCAGTAAAAAAATTTAAGTTTTTGTTTCAAAGTTACGTATTTTAGTTTTTATTTGCTTTCACAAGTTTTTCTACTTTCTCGACAACAAACTGAAAATTGTAATTAAACTCGAAGTAGGTTGAAATGGCTTTTAAATGGTCAAGCTGGCTACTAAAAACTAAAAAAAAAGCTCTTTATTTGCGTCCCGTGGAAACGGTCGCCCGGCTGCTTGCCATTGAATTTCGTATGAGGAGTTCAATAAAGTCATATGCTCAAAATAACCACGATTGCCCAGCTCTCATGATGGAAGGAATCATCTTAAAAAACATATATTCTGCATAGACGATCTTTCACTTATACCTTTAAAATGCTGTTTTCTCATGATCCCCTTATGGGCAACTTCTCGAGTTTGGAAATCACGTTTTTGGTACTTCAGATAGCCGATTGGGATTAAATTTTGCCCTAACATTCTTCAACATGTAAAGGGTGCAAGTATTTTCTTCAAAACTCTATATCGCCTGTACAATAGTTACAAAATTAAAGTAAGCTATCATTATGGGCTGAAGATTAAAAAAATTTTAAAAATGTTCGAATAAAAATATTTTGTCTATTAAATCGTCTTATACCCACTTTTTTCATAGTTATTTGTGTTATATAGTTAAAGAAATATTAGTGATTATAACGGCTCAGAACCATAAAAGCTTAATGGCAGAAAGAAGTTGTCCAGAAGTAGTTATAATTTACATTGTCATGGCATAAAACGAAAACTGTGCAACTGACTATAAAAGCGACTACATGTTTGAAATCAGCATAAAAGCATTATAACAACGAAAAATTCCATTGCCCTAGGCCACATATTGAAGCAAAATGTCCTGTTTCAAATTGTATCTCCCTTTAAATTGCTCTTTTGACCTGCATATATCTTATATATAGCTCAGTTGGCAAAGCATTGGACTCATTATCCCATGATTCTAGCCGTCGTCCTTACCTATCAGTGAGTCGATCGTTGAACAAATTTCATTCCTTTACTTTATGTCATCATTACATCCGCTGCAGTTGCTGTACCACTAAGGGGAGATGCTAATCGAAAAATGTCACTTTTTGCAAAATTACCGCTTCAACATTCGGATTGGCAAGTTACGTTTGTTATTGTCCTTTTATTTTACATTCAGATTAAAAATCGGTTAAATTAAGATCGATTTTTTTCAGACCATGACACTCTGGCCTCCGCTACAGCAGTTTTTGAGGCTACAGTGTATGGTGATGATGTAAAGAGAAAAGGAGGCTAAACACAAAAGCGCACCCTTCGTAAACTGCCATTACCACTCACAAGGGAGATAAGTTGAAAGATGATGCAATACAGGAGGCACGAAATTGTTATGAAATAGCGATAACCGCCAATCCGACCATTCGACTTTAATTCTATCTAGTGGCTAAGGTACTCGGCTGGAGACCCGCAGGTGGTGGAATCCAATCCCGGCTACAGCAGCTGCATTTTCGATGGAGGCGAAAAAGCTGTAGGCCCGAGTGCCCAGATTTGGGTGCACGTTATAAAGGGCCCCAGGTGGTCAAAATTTTCAGAGCCCTCCACTACGGCGTCTCTCCTAATCATATGCTGGTTTTGGGACATTAAACCCCACATATCAATCAATCATGACTTCAATTCTCAACCTGGAAGGAAGTTGCCAATTTGTCCACGAAGAGTGACTTCTGGTGTAAGCGAAGGCAAGCCAGAACTCTTCAAGGGTCCACACTTAATTACACTCGTGAATGCTTACTAATGAACACCTTTGTGGCTACACACCCCACATAGTATAAGCACCTCACAGATCATTATTTATTAACTCTAAGCATTGCGTACCATAGTCTAGTCGACAATTAACACATGTATTTATTCAAAATAAGGCAAGACATGTGTCTCGGTAATGTTTTTTTTTTTTAAATAAATGTGCAGTCAAATGGCGTTCATTGCACAACTCCTGTAATTTCTCTAGATGAACAGCCAAGCTGGTTGCAGTCCTAAACCCGTCCACATGAGAACATTTTAAGGAACATTTTAAGGATAACAATGTTCAAAGAACATTACCAGGATGCTGCCAAGGGGGCGAGGACATCTGTACCTTTTGAGGACAAGTATAAGATGTCGACTGTTGTCTGGGTAATTAGGTGCACGGGAAAGGGGGGGGGGGGTGATGTGGTTGATCCTTCTACTATATATAGTTTGCATGCACTATAACTCTACACTCACCTCCCCTCCCCTTTCCCCCCCATGTTTTCTTGCTTTAACTTTCTGGGTGCTACTAAAATATTTACACGCGTCCACAGCGACCACCAGTTGCCAAAGTTAAATTCTGCACCTGCCCCCCCCCCCCCCCTCGCGAAAAAGTATTCTTGGGTGCAGCCCTGCTCTCTGGATTGTGCTACATAGGCGCGAGTCCCCAGAAATGTACTGACGAGGCTCTGACGTTCTCCTTCATGCCCCCGTACCCAGCATGGTAGCATTTTTTCTCCCCTGTGAAAAAGAAACCGGCTAGTTGGAAAGTATTCATCTTGAAAAGACTAGGCATACAAACACTGATTCAAGAGAGAAGTCAAGACACCACAAACACTAACAACTATGCACAACGACGCAAAAAAAAAAGACACGAAAACTTATCTGCCCATGCACAGGCAATAAGTGAACCTATCAATCCAGCGCACAAAGGGGTCTATGTGAAAGACAACTGCTAAGGCATTTGATTTCTTTGTGCAAGTTTACTGATGGTTGGCCCACGTATGCGCTGTGCAAGTGTTCTTAAAATGAAAAGGTACGAAACATTGTAACGTGAGAATTAACATAGATGCCTACGCCGCTATGGGAGAACGTAGCAAGACAAAATGCAATAAGTGTCTGCTCTCTCCTGCACATGAATTCACAGGAGAGAGCAGAGGATCTTATAAGCAGCACTCTCTAATCGACACGGCAGTGCGTGCGAGGACAGAATGACTTTCACATTGCAAAGTTTGATGATTAAGGAGTAGCGAGGTGTTATCTGATTTCTGACAGTAGGAGGTGTTAAACACACGATTCATTCTGACCTCAAATATTTAGTGTCGAGCCAACCCGGTCAAGTGGTGCTCTGCCATCTGAAGCCCCAACAAAAGGATCAGCTTTGGGCCGTCCAGATAGCCCACAACGCGGCGGTCAGGCTTAGCCTGTTCAACCCAATGTGGTAGAAGCCCACTGCGTGCTAGTAGTGTTTCTCAATACTACAAATAAAGTTCCTACATCCATCCATCCTCGGCCTTTTTTAAAAAATACAGGAAACAATACGTAAAAAGAAAGATCACTTTATTGTTTTCAGCAACTCTCATCGGAAGGCTCTGCCTGCTACAAAATCCACTGCATACTGAACAGCCACAGGACTACAACAGCCAGCGATAGATCGTTTACAAAGCCATGGCTCTGATAACACAACTGGAAGAGTATGAAATTTATGCACACCAAGATCGACGCTGGAGCTGTGATGGCAGCATTTCAAGGTTGATGAAAATCAGCGCAGCACGCAGCAATAAATTGAAAGAACAGGAAACTACAGGGGAGGTCTTGGCAAACAAAACCATGTGTAGAAACACATCCAGCAGCTGACCGACATGCTTTGACGCAATAGAGAATGAATTGCGACTACTGTAGCTGACCACCTTATGAATTATCTCGCCATAGACTGGCTACCTGCGTGGCTTTTCAGTGACACTGCATCCTGATGGCATGATAATGAAGCAAAAGCAAATAATATTGAGCCCCTGCTGTGTTATTAAGCTCTTTTCATTCCAAGATTATGCTCAACAAAACAGCAGGCATGAACGGTTTTGCCGACAGTAAACCTGGACCTCGGTCCATAGCTGCAATAGTCCGTGCAACTTATTAAGAGCTCATACACTGTTCCACCCTTCTACCCAAGGCAGTGAACTATGAATGAGGGCACTCAGTTCATGGACCAATAACTTTGAGACATAGGGACGGTGTTATGTAAGACCAGTACATTCCACTACATGTTTCATGTGTCATGTGTGTATTGTAGTTTCATTGTCCCATTTAAGAAAAAGATGAAGTATGAAGAAAGAACCCATTTCTTGCTTTTTCATTTGTAGCTACATTGAAGCCTTCACTGACACACCAATAGGCATTTCAGCATGCAAGCTTATCAAGCTATGGATCCGCCAGCACAGTGGTCACTAACAGCAAAGCTCAGCACTGATCCAGTACAAGCCTTGCCAGTCTAACGATGTAGATTGCAATGGATGCATCCCGACAAGAAAGGCTCGCATGTCTGTGCTGTTCAGAGAGCAGTTACAAATAAATATTGCGGACTTCTCGAGAGCACTGTTTGCTTCTTCTGTTCAGATAGGTTGTCAATGTGACAATGCCAAAATGTACAAAAAGAAGCTCTATTCACACTGTCACATCACGTAAAATAAACTCTCTGCTACAGACAACACACAAACACAATTAAAGCATCTTAGTGCACAGCTCTTTGTGCGAGCAGCGATACCGACTGGGAAATAAAATGTGCCTAGGAGTGTCCACTTCTCATTTTGCTACAAGCAAGGAACCTGTGATAAATTAGATGACCTGACCTCTGGTGCTTTATGCAGGAATGAATGCCACACACGAAGCTTTTCATTAACCTCACTTGGACATACCTGAACAGTGCTCGATGTTAGCAGGCACATAACAAAAAGCGTAGCAGCTAGTGTTTGAGCCACCTATGGTTATGTGCAACATATTTACGTTCTGGAACAGCATACGCCAGATGTAATGAGCTAAAAAAAAGTGAAACTTTTAGCAGAAAACAACATACATAATTGTGCCCAATGTTATCTGCTTTATGTTCCTGAACTTCTCTTATGGTGCACACACTGGAAGCTGCCTATGCCACCACTGTCCATACGCATTCATTTACTCATTGGAATGCTGTGTGTACAGCAGCAAAGGCAATATGAAATTTTCATTTCCAAATGGTAAAATAATAAGACGGAATGATGAGCAATTGTCCCTAAACCAGAGCACAGGTTACCTCAATAGCACTCGATATGCAAGACGAGGAAGGGGAAATCAGAAAAAATAATAAATATACGTAGGAACTCGAGAACTAACCAACTCTGACATTGCCCATCTTTTGCAGGCCTTGGAACACTAACCACATCGCAGCAGTTCTCTTCAAAGCTTCTCAAGTCAGAAATGCAGCACATACTCTGCCAGACATACACAGCAGATTACAGTCAAGTTACCTATGCCGGTACTCTCATGGATGCGAAATGACTTTCAGATTTCTGCTGTGATGGTCAACATTAAGAACCACCATTTGACCCAAATGAAACTGGCCTACATTTCACGGTATTTCCTGGTGCTCAATGAAGCTTGAAAATTCATATTCATTACGGTCAAATATCTTGTTCAAAAAAAAAAGTCACACAATCATTCATTTGGAAAATGGAAGTGATTTTGCTATGAAAAACTATAAGTATAAAAAGCAATGCCATAAGCAGCACCAGGTTTGATCAATTACTGCCCAAGCAGCACTGCTGCCATTTGAGCTGGTCTCATACAAAAATGTTATCCTTACACTTGCAGATGGTGCGCACCAGTACAAGTCCTTTATCGCACTATGCCTCACATCTTCAAAGAAGCAGTATTCAGGAAAATTACCCAGGTTTATGCACATAATTGCTTCAGTCTCGGAACACAATATTTATTTTAACTGTGTTTCAAATGATAACTTCTGTACATGCCTGCCATTCCATAAATAGGAGACACATAGGAAGATGCACGTACGCAGTCTAACCTAGCAAGAGACCCCACAAAGCACTAAACTGTTATGAAGTGAGATCTCAGGCATTTGCACCTGTGGTTAGCATAAAGGCATAACAGCAGCACGCAGAGGAAGACTGCTAGTCACACACCTGCTACTGCCCTGTGCAAGATAAAGCCACTATATTGACACTCTGGCTGCCACGGAAGACCTGGCAAGAGCCAAAGGCATGCAGAGATCGTTGTCAATCTCGTATTAAACTACATCAATAATTTCTAAATTAGAACCATTCATTCCTTCTCGCATTGCACACCCAAGCTCGCCCAACCCAAAAATGAGAGCCAATGCCTCAAGCCTGTACTAGCGAGAGAAAAAGAACTGAATAACTTGAGGTTCGCGCACATAGCCAGGTGCAATACACAACTATGAATGCAATAAAAAGCACTGCTAACCTTCAAACAGTTTCTAGCTACTTTTTCTCACAATTCACAGCATTTATCATTCAAGCTTTCATGAAAAAATCTTTCTTCACATGCTTTCGAGAGCCACAATGAAAATGAGTACAAAATGCTGTAGACAATACTATGCAATATTATGTAGAATACGTTGTATGCGCTCAAGTGACCTTTATGCCAAAACAATTGCCCACAAATAATCGAATGCCTAGGAGAAAAACCTGAAATAAAAAAAAAAGTGTGCTACAAGCACAAAGAAACAGACCAAGCACCTGTCTTTCCATTTAATTTACTTACAAACAACCTTGCAAGGCTTAGACTAACCAAATACCAATCACAACTGGTAGCTATGTTTGTTGCTTCATGGTTTAAACTGAAATTTAGTGAAGATCAAATTAAAACTTGGTAATTACAGTTCTCAAAAGGTATTCTCATAAGTAGCAATGGATGTTTACAGTAGTGCAACACTGTTCTAAAGACAGGGAATTCATAATTTATATTTAATATTTTTGAGAATAAAATAAATTTCATATAAAAATCAAAATGAAATTTCCTTTTAATTACCAGCAAGATTACTTAACATGGTACTTCAATTCTGTGCTTTCTACATGAGTGAGTAGTATTCAAAGAGCTATCATTTCATGTGGATGCATATGTACGAAAAAACACTAATGGCCAAGTACCAGATTACTAATAATATTTTATCTTAAGGAACGGAAGTAAACATGCTTGTAACTGTGTGCTGCTCCCTAATCAATAGTTATTCGTTATATATTCATCTTTTACAGAGAACAGAAAAGTGAACTTGAATAGAAAGTTTGTTGTTTTCAAGTTGCTTACAGATAGTGTCCTGCTTCATCTGGGCAAGTCATTGAATAGCAACAGTTTACACCATACATGTATACATACAGATATGCACAGTAGCACCTGCTTGAACTGTAGAAAGATACAAATAAACTATATTCTCATGCAGTCACAATGCACGAGTTCTTATTCATAGACTATAAGAACATGCAGGACATTGACTAGCACAGGTGCACTTTCACACGTGACACCAAATTATATTTTAAAAAATATTAAAAAAAATATGCATCTTTTTAGAACATTTTTTTTATGCATCGAAAAAAGCCCAGCACAATTTAACACTGCAAAAAAAACTTGATTGTTAACAAACACTTAAAAGGATAAAAAATATGTTCGCTTGTGCCATATATGGGGTGTAAAAATAAGCTAGTGTTAAACATTCCTTACTTTTCCCCTCCTCCCTTGTGCCAAGTTTTATGCATCAAGGCCCAAAAGTTATTGCTAGGCAGATTTGACAATTTAAATATGCTGGTCAGCATTGAAATAATTCTCAATGTGTGAATGGCGGCAGCTGTTAGTTCCACAAGCCCAACGAAAACTGTTTAAACCTACAATGTTAAAAGGCACTGTAGCCTAAAGCCACCTAACACACAAAATTTCAGGTTGCTCAAGAAGCCTTCATAAGCAATTTTTCAGTTTGACATAATGTCACAGGTGGCCTTTCAGGCACATGATTGGGCGACAAAATCAGCAATGCCAAAAAGAATGCCTAAGCTTAAAGAGCAGTTGAAGTGTCCGGGCAGTACAATGTCACAAGAGTAGCCAGTTGGAAATGGCACATGAACTGAAGATATGTTTCATGCTTGGCAAACACACAAGCTGGACGGTCACATTTCAGCAACTGGACAGAAAGAGAGTGCAGCCTCCTCCACAGTATTTTGTAAATTAAATAATCTGGCAACGGTGCATATTGGCTGCTGTTCGGTGCCTTTCATTCAATGCCACAGTGAACAGCAGGGGTGAAACAGGTACACATGCCAAAGTTTACAGGCTGGGCAGGACACAGGGAACTATGACAACGTGGTTTTCACATGACACATACAATGAAAGGAAATCACTAGGTGCGACAGTAGGACGACGGGTGGTTGGGTAGTATTTACTTTTTATAATGTAGCATTAGCTTGCAAATAAAGAAACCATAAAATGCCTTTAACATAATTTACTTAAAATAATACAGCACTCTCTCACAACAACCAATCATGTAAAAAATCCAGCAAAAAAAATGCACTTCCAGGAATCAACAAAAAAATGGCTACAGTAATGCTTGCAGCAATGCACTACCATCATAGAGAAAAAAATACAGAAATGCAGGAAACTGTCACGTCAGGAGCTAGTTCTACAGGAAATGAAAAATGGCACAGAGCACCGGTTATTGGTTTGTCCTGAGACACAATACATAGTGACAAACTATTTACTGTTACAAATCACATGCAAAGGGAAATGAAAGTGTTGGCAAAAATATATGGCTTAAGTATACCACTTTCCTACCTTGTGGACACCAAGAAAACAAATGTGGGCAAAAAAAATGAAAGCCTCACCTGTTAGCACACTTTAAAAAAACGGCAACTACACAAAAATGACTATGTCCTAGATGAAGTACTAAAAAAGAAAGACGTAAAACAGAAAAAAATTGAAATGCCACAGCTTGCCGTAACATACAATCACTGGGTACATTTGATTTAATTTTTGCAATAAAATTAAAATGAAAAACTGAAGTGCCACTCTCACCAACACAGCATAGATTCTGAGTATATAGATTTCCTATATACTTTAGTGACTTCAAACAAGTTTCACAAAAAGCAAATGCAGTGCAAAAAAAAAAAAGTTTTGGCCAGATGCTTCTGTCCCCATCTTAATTATACTGGCATACCACATTTACATGGAAATTTTTATCGATTCCAGAGTAAATTCAACAGTCGTAACAGCTAGCAAAGCCTTTGTTCCTTAAGTGTACTACGTAAGAAATATACACGTGTATCAGCAATGTAACTTACAGCAACAGAAGCCCTCACATACAATCCTAGCCATGTAGACAGGTATGAGCAAGTAGTTTGTGAAGTCAAGAATGAATAACTTTTTGGTATGCACATGTTAGACATGTGGGCCGTAGCTTTCCTAAACCAGTAATAACTTATTCAATATTTATGCACAACATTCAAAGTGTCCCGACTACATGCTACATACTACCAGCACTTAAAACATTTTCCAGCTTGAATACTTTCAAAATTGTCAGCATTTGTACGAATTGGTTTGACAAACAATGACAAAAAGAAAGGAGGGGGTAAAAATATATCTAGCAAGCCTCAATCATAATTTGCTCCTCTACTTGCAATGCTTTTTTCAAGTCGTGTGCTAAAGCAACCAGGAACACTTGTCTCTTTATAAATATGACAGAGTTAACATAACAAACAAAAATACTCTATACATGCATAGAGAAAACAGAGGACAACACTTCCACCAACCAACATTGAACAAAAGCCCCATGTCGCACTAATTGTAACTGTCATTTTAAAGCTATTCAAGACCCTTCAGGACTTTTTGCTTCAGCAAAATGAGAAACAGATGGTAAAAAAGGAAGAATGAGACATTAAACAGCAGGAGGCTTTGCCAAATTTAAACAGTGACTGGATGATCGGGAACAAGTTAACTTAATACATTATCACTTTACTGCTAAAGTCCCCATGCTATGTATTATCAAGAGCTACGGTAAAGTAAGAATTGTCTTCTTTACTTACATGTTCCTCTTTACTATGGTAAAGCATTATTTCCATTTGGAGAGCTGCTACATGCTTTCTAGTGACTGTTGTTCATGTCTAAGGCAGCATTCCTTGGTTAGCTCTAATGAATTCATTCAACCTGCCCCACTTTTTAAACAAAACACAACTCAATATCCTTTTTTTTTAAATAATATATAGCACACCTAATATATGATCAGTAGGCAGTGGTTTAACAAATACAATGCCTGGTAGTTCATGAAACACGTCAGTGATTTCCGATTAAGGAAGAGAGCTTTATCCATTTGCTATTGTAATCACCAAAAGGTTTTCAAGAGGCACACATGCACAACAGGAAGCAGTTCTGATGAAAAACATCTAGTGCAAATACAGTGAATCAAGGACAGAGAACTTTGTGTGTCATGGAGATGACACTCCAAGGAAAAGGTCTGCTTGACTTGGAGCATCTAAATGAGATGACAGTGATGGGACTTTAAAGGGGCCCAGCAGCATTTTTCCAAGTGATAATCAAATGATGTCAGTAATGAGTTTATTGCCTCATGATGGTCACGAAAAATTTTTAAATCTGTCAAGTAATAGCGGAGTTACACGGGTTTGTCGCATTCTCCAGGCATTTTCCCTTTCCTTTCATCCAAGTGAGTGCACTGAAAACTACACATTGAAAAATTACAAAAGGGCAATGGGCTACATCCATACAGCAGCACACATCACGAAATTCAGCGCTCAGTTTTTCTTGTGCACTTTACTTTCAGCGTGATCACTAGAGGCCAGATTTATAGGCACTAAAGAATCGGGTTTTAGGCGCCAAAACTAGGCAGGCAAAGTGCAGTTCTAGGCCCCGAAAATCATAATGTAGGCATATTAAATTTTTGCAAAAATTCAAATTCCCAAAGGAATACATGCAGGACCTGTGTTTACGATAAAGCACAAAAAAAAAGAAATGTTTTAGTTTATGATGGTACAAAGGCACCAATCTTTTAGCATTTCTTTACTCGCGGGGTTAGCAGAACACGGTTTCTCATTTTATTGTCCAGTATGGCGAGCAAAGTTTCTACCGTCGAATAATCACCCTCCTGGGTTTCTTATTTCGGCATGTTTGAGAAGGGCAGCACAGTTGCAAATAGCCAGACTGCTAATAGGCCTGATGGGACTTTTAGCCTCGAATTAACTGGGTCTAATCACTCAGGTTTTTTTCTCAATCTGTGAACACCTTTAAAACCCTGTGACCAGGTTTGAGCGTTTCGAGCAGACAAGAATATGCATTCGCTGGGTGCTCACGATCTCGTCTTTTAAGATTTGCAATGCTACGCACCCCGAAATGAAATGTCAGACTGAACGCCGCTTGCCCTTCATCTAACGGGCGCACACCCCAACATGGTGAAGGTGCTATATACAACAAGGAATAGTCCTACGTGCATCACATTAGTACACGACACTGTGAGAATTATTCGAGGCGACGTGTGCAAATTTGTACAATCTGTTGCTTAGATGAAAGCATGGAGGTTGATAGAAAAATGCCCCCACTTCCCTGAAGGAAATCATAAGGAAATGCAAATGCATTTCTTGCGCCGGAAGAGGGTACCAATTCCGCCAGACATTTGTCTTCACCAACTTCTGCCATCGCCTTTCAAGGCGATGGCAGAAGTTGTTAAAGCTGTTAAACTGCCTTTAATTTAAGCTGTTAAAACTGCAGCAAAATTCTGGGTTACTAAATGTAATCTATCAAGTTAAAAGTGACTTGTGTCAGTGAATCGTTCACGTATGAAAGCATTCTGTGTAATGGGTAGCATGCTTTAAATTATGAGCAATTACGCGCGTGGAATGTTTTCGAACTTGCTATGCACCCACTACGTGGTCTTGAGAGACAATGTGCATTAATGTGTGTGCCTTTTGTAATGGGTGGTCGGCTTTAAACCATGAAGTCGTTGAGATAATCGCACGTTCCGATGCCCAATGAATACATGCCCGTACCATGCAATACAAGTGTGATATTACAAGTTGCATTGTGAAGCCTGTATACAGAACACGTGTTTGTAAAGCATGAAAGTTATTTTCACTGCACTTGCAAGCAAAGGTAGTTATTTTCACTATTTCCAAGCAGAAGCGTGGCTGCGTGGAATAACACGTGCTTGCCACACAAACGGCTTGGGCTTGATCCTCACTTGGACCCGGAAATTTTTATTATTCATTTTATTTGCATCTTCCTTGATTTTTTTCCACGGACATGATTTTTTGCTCACAACCAACAACAACCACGCCAATGTTGGATTTTCTGTGAAATTAGCTCTTTAATGCTCTCGCATTAAATATGTTACCAGACTTGCATACAACAGTACTCAGGTTTGCCAAAGTATAAATCCTAACAAATGTGTATGTGTGACATATCTCAAGTACTAAGTCATTCTCATTGAATGACTGAGAATTATTGAGAAGTATTTATTGGCCTTGTGCATTCATTAGTGAAATATTGCTCTTGCACAGTAACTGCAGGTATTGTAATGATGCGTTTTCGTGCAGTTCTCACATCTGCCGTTTTTCTTTTCAGTATTCGATGTGTTATTCCTTATATATCCAAAAGAGAAAACATATCTGACAACTTTGAATACTGGATTTTCAAATCGAGCAGAAGTTGACCAACATGAGCTATTTTTTATTATAATTTGAAATTAAAATATTTTAACACTACTAATGAGATAACCAAATGAATGCAACGAGTTGTATTGAAAACTGGGAAAGTTGGTAACGATTCATAGCTGGTCAAGGTAAACAGTGCAAAAAACGAAGACAGAGTAAAGGAAGGACACAAGACGAGTGCTGTTTACTCCGTCTTCATTTTTCGCGCTGTTTACCTCGACCAGAAATGAATGCAAGAACCAATGAACTTGGTTCAACCATTTTGTCTTGAACCAAATTCAATGGTTGCAACTGTGTACTGTTTACACAAAAACTTTCTTAATTTGAACAAGTTACTCGCATGTCCCTTCAAGCCATTAGGAAACCTTTGTATACAACCCAGCTGAGAAAATTCAACACAGCAAAGTGAGTTGGCAAAAATTTATGCCCTAATCAAAAAAATATCCCACACTAAAGTCAATGTACTATAGTATACTAACATGAATTAAACTTCAATGTAACTTCTCAGAACAGCTGATAAGTCGACAAATTAATGGGCAAAGCAATTTATTGTGTGCTTATTTTTACTGTGGACTGAGGTCTTGGAGTAAGAAGATATACTGCATTTTAAAAGAATGAGTTGGTCTTACACATTACACATGACAAATAGCTGGTAATGGCTAAAGCTCTCTTCAAGCATGAGACAAGCATGACAGTGATGGTAAAAGCAACAACATCCAAAAATACTTCCAAGAGATGCATGATGTCCATGCCACACCAACAAAAACTTTAGTGATATGAACTTTCCCATTGCACTTAATAACATGTGCCCTAAGTAAGAAAATAAACCATCCAACACAATATACCAAGATGATATGCGAAACATTTACAATGACCTAGATGTAAAAAATATTTATGACCATGACATTTGGGTTAACAGCTGCTAAGCAGGTAGCCCTTAGAATTATTTAAGCAAGCTAAGTGGCACGTGTCACATTCTGAACGCACAAAAAAATAACTCTTTTTCAGACCAATAAATAATACATATTCAACACCATCAGGACTGTGGTGCAGTATACTTAGACACCAACAAAGTTTTAAAGCAAGGAATGAAACAGAGCACAGCAGCTACAGCAGCACAGAAGGCACCCAAGCACTCCACCCTGCTTCAATCTTTCTCGATGTCTTTGTCACAAAGTCGCAGTGTCCACTTCATCATATGTGCCAGATGAAAACCACAAGGTAACGTCACAGCAAAAGTGGTGTTGAGCGATCACTCTGAGATGCAACTCGTTTCAGCACTGTACCCTGCCGAATCTGATCCATAAGTGACTCTCGGCATGCAGTCAGGTCAACAGAACCACGAGATGCTAGCCAGCTCTGAACTCGAGCAGCTCGGCCTCCGTTTTGTCTTGAACCAAATTCAATGTCTGGCTGCAAGGAGCCACGGCGTGCTGCTGCTACTGATGTCTGGGGAAGCATGCCAGCAATGGACTGAATGGCTTGCATATTATGAATTTGGGTAGGTGCTGTTGTATGCACATATTGTACTGGTGATGGAACTGTTGTCTGGCCTGTAGAAAAGGATGACATTTGCTGCATGTGCTGCGATACTTGCTTTGGGGATGGAACTTGTTGTTGAGCTGGTTGCAGCGACACTCTTCGCTGTTCTGCGAGACGAGCATTCAGGTTGCTAAGAAACTGTCTTCGCTCTGCTGAGTTGTTTTTCTTTTCCCCAGATGGTACTGGCCCCACAGACCTGCTCCGGCGGTTGTCTGCTGAAGAATCAGCAGTTCCACCAGCAACACTGTTTCGTGGGTCTCTCCTCAGCTCACGTTTGAGAAGTGTCTGCTCCAAATTGGCTCGAAAAAAATCCATCTCTGGAGGCACCTTTCCAGTTTTCATTGCAGCACCTGCACTAGGCCGAGTACATGCTGCAGACGGTGATTCACCAAGTGAACCTTTACGAACAGATGCCTTTGCTTCACAAATGGAGATTGCTTCCGATGTTGAGAATTTAGCATTAAGACTTTGAATAAGAGCATCACGTTCACTGTGTCCAATCGTGTGAGCACGCAGAAGCTTTTTTTCATGTTGTGCTTGCTTTCTGAAAACACATGCCGCCTCGCCTTCTATATTAAGTGACGGTTCATTTTCTAGCGATTCAAGGAATGGCGGTGGAGCAGGAAAAGGCTTCAAATCACATTCTGGATCAAAATTTGACATATCTGGTGGATCTGGTAGAGGAAGGCCACAGCCATCTTCAGTGTGACTTGATGGAAGTGAGAATCTAAGACCAGCCTGTTCTAGTGGACTTGGTTTCGAGAAGCGGGCATTGAGTGCTTGTATTAACTTGGCCCTACTTGTAGAACTGTTGTCGTTATCATTAACAGACTGGCCATCACGGTCAGCAGTAGCTTGCTCCTGAGTGTGTTGCAAGCTTGGAGACGAAGGTGAACAACCCTGAGTGCTTGTGATTGAAGGGGTTCGTCTCACAGGGGGAGGTGGTGGTGGCTGTGAACCGCGTCGGAAGCTCGACTTAGCAGGAAGAGTTGAAGACTTGGACAGCCCTGCAAAATTGAAGTTTCCCCCTTTGGTTCTCACTGACAGATGACAAAGTGTCAACTTTTCAATTTTGAACAATGCCCACTTCAACTGCAGGGAAGCCTACCACTCAAAAGTAATACTAGTATCATCTTGATACATTATAAATATTGTCAACAGACCTGATCTATATTTGAATTCAGACATTATTCTCTATCACTGCAAGAAATTTACAGTCGTGTTTTACCACTGCCTATATATTAAATGAAGGCACAAAAAAAAAGCCAACCTGAAATTCAAACGTATAGGAGCTCAGTCGCCAAGCAAGCTTAGTGGGGACACATAGTGCCACTTGCAGAAAGGATCTCTTATATTATACAATTTTTCCCATTTCTTACTACGCTCGTGCATCAGACACTGGCCTTTAAAAACACAATGTACAGTACAGAAACTAATGAGACCTCTCGAGCTTAAAAAAACGAAGTTCTAGCTAACATTCTTAGCCCCTAAAAGCTGGGTAGGCAAAATTACGCACCCCCTTACCCAAGCTCGCAAGAAGAGACAGTGCTCTTCGGAAACTACAGAGTGCACATTACCTCATGATACCCTGTTGCACACTCTGTAGCCCACAAACTATTGAAACGAATGCAAATTCTACTCTGCAACAAACACACTCAACTACATGGTACGAGTGTGGACAAAACTCTTCAACACCACCTGTTCATCGTTCACTGCACAACAGTAGACACGGACAAAGAGGATACTGAAACAACATGTGTGCTCCTATTGCTTCAGTCTCCTCTTCATCCGGGTCTAGTTTTGTGCAGTAAATTATGAATTGGCACCAAGCCGCCCAACCGTCAGTTTTTTTCAATACCATTTAAATCACTGGACCAAACGTCAAGTGGTAAGAGCCCCAGCTAACAAGCTCCAATACGCAAAATGCTTTGCAGATGAGCGATGCCTTCAAGGCTTGAAGACCAGCGGCATCTGGTGAACAAAGCCTACCTGTCCGCTCAGGCCCCCGGTATCCTGGACTAACAAAACTCTCCACCTTGGATGATTCTGCCGTCAGCTCACTCCAATGTATTAAGTTTACTCTTCCTTCTCAAGCCAGATTCGAACTAAAGAATTCTGTATGGCAGTCAACTGTATCACTATAGAAGCAGATCAGTGCTTGAAGCTGCTTTAGAAAAAAAAAAAAATTAGGGGATGCTTGAACTTCTACTTCAACAGCAGAATGTGATAATCAGGCCTCATTCCCATTGCCTTTGCATTCACTAGCCAGGCTTTGCTTCTCAGTGGACACCTCAACGATTTCTAAGGAAATAATAGGTGTGCATGTAACATTGACTCTTTTGAAACTCTCCTACATTGCCTACAGCAAGTACATTTGCAAAGTGCCCATAATGCCATATTTCCTCATTTTGCTATTTATCAAAGTATCTAGTAGGCCGTTTGTTCAAAATTCACAACATGCAGGTACACGTGACATGGATTACCGCGGTGGTCTTGTCTAAGCAAGATAAATTCATGAAAACATCTGCCGCAGAAAATCATATCCCTTGTCAAACAGATCAACTGAAGATTGCCTTACGTAGCTATCTTTTTCTTTAACAATACGATAGGCTTTAGGCTTTTACCACCTTTCGGTTAATCTGATGCCAATGCTTGTGAATGATCTTAGTGCTTGTGAAAACAGGAGAGCACCCACATGATCAACAGTGCATAGGTCGACTATAATTAGCTGTATTACTCAAACCAGTGAGCCTCCGGTTTGCTTTCCCTTGTGTTATAATGATCTCTGGTTAGTGCAGCGACCTGTCTGTGCTATATATGACCACAGCTGAAAGGGGCTTTATGTACTCCACTTGTACGGCAATCAGTGAATTGGTTGGTGGGTTTTACAAAACAAATACCGGTCCGTTTCTTGTTTTTTACTTTCTATCTCTGTACAGCAGCACAAACCTTAACTAGCTTATTGGCAGCCATAAAAACAACATGAATACTGTATCTACTTTGTACTTTCTTGAGCCTGTGAGATACCCAACAAATGTACGGTATGCTTATTTATTGCGCAAGCCACGTCTGAAGTGCGGACGCGTTATTTGAAGGTCGCAGGTATAGTCCCCGCCGGTTGCAAGTTATCTTTCCTTCAACTTTCATTTCTTCACATTAACATTACATTTATTCCTAATAATATCCCCTATACTTTCCATGGCATGATTGTCTGTTAGTTCTCAATAATATTTTGTGTAACATAGAAAATGTGTTCTTAAATGTATGCTTTTTTTCTACCTTTACTGCTTATCCAACAACACTTTAGGCACTGTCCCTCTCAAAGTAGTCCCCTCTACTGAAGATGCACCACACACGAACCAACTTACAAGGATCCCACATATAACGATCTATCAGTTCTAACGACCATATTTCAGCGCACTTATGCTTTTCCTATTCTGCCCTTTAAAACAGAGTCCACACACAGCAAACTTTTTTCAAAGCCTCCTACTTTTACAACAAACACTTCCAACACATTCGCGAGGTAAAAATATGGCACATACAAAGCGGATATGGCACATACAGGTGCCATATCCGCTATAAAAATATAGCACATACAGGTGCGCCCTCGCGCATGCCCTGCTACAGTTTACTTGCGACGAAGATATCGTAGACCGCGTCAAGCACCGCACATAAATTTCGGACGCTGCGAACAAGGTTGCTCACTTTGCAGGCGTAATTCACCCGGCAGAAAGGAAGTGAAGAAAAAAAAGAAATAGGAGACAGCATGAACACTGCAGTCAGCTTTCGCATGACAAACTTTTCTGACGCCGTCCCCGACATGTGCAACCATCGACTATCGACCAGCAACGCCTTTGAACGCAAGCAGCCATAAATTCGAAAAGCGACAACATTTTACCGCATAAGGTTTTCCGCCTTTCGAAAAAATGTTACCGTTACCGAGAGGTTTTCCGCTTTTCGGTAACGGTGGAGACCGGTCGATTAGTAATAACGACTGCCGTGTGGTTGCGGCGGTGCCTTAGCAGATAAGCATAAGAGAGTGGCGATGGTGAGGTGGACGGTGGCGATAAGCGGGCCAATTTTGACTCATCACCTGCAACCTTATCACGGTCATCTGCAGATATCTGTTCGGCGAAGTGACGGTGGATCATGCCGCTGTTCATAAGTTCACCGCCGCTGCGTCGTGCGCAGCCACTTGCACGCGTTTCTTACAAAATTTGTCTTTGTTGTGTTAAACGGAAAGGCTACTTGCTGCACCTGAGCACGGTCCTGAGTGAAGCATGCACGAAGAACGCACAAACGCACGCATGCATTGGACTGCAAACAACCCGGCATGTGACGGCGAGTGCCGAGTAAGCGACGTGCTGCAAGCAACTAGCCAGGGATAATTGGTTTGACGTGGCGGTACTGCGCTTCAGTGCAACGGCGCGAGTTCTTTGTGAACGTGGTTGAATTCACTCGTGAGCAAACGGGCGTTGTTTAAGACACGAAAAGGCTTAACTTGTCAGCGAAGGGGTTGTTCGCACTTAATAAAAACACAGGAAAGAATATGGTTTGGCCACAAAATAGATGTTTTTATGGGCGAGTTCATATACAGTTAAACCCCAATATAGAAGGCATGCTCCGGGCAGCGATTCTTGTCTTTTATATGAGATGTCTCTGATTGATTGATTTGTGGGATTTAACGTCCCAAAACCACCATTTGATTATGAGAGACGCCGTAGTGGAGGACTCCGGAAATTTTGACTACCTGTGGTTCTTTAATGTGCACTCAAATCTAAGTACACGGGCCTACAACGTTTCCGCCTCCATTGGAAATGCACAGCCGGGATTTGATCCCACGACGTGCGGATCAGCAGCCGAGTACTGAGATGTCTCTTATAAGCAGGGGACCTTGTATGGATTTTCCTATCCCCTGTCTTTTACTGTAGGCTTACTGATGTCTCTTATACCCATTTGTCTCTTATAGGAGTGTCTCTTATAAAGGAATACGACTGTACAACAAACTACTGATATAACGACTTCTTATCGCAGCACTTTCGAGTTTGTTATAAACAGCTTTAACTGTATTGCCACCATTTCTTCCAGTTTTGAAAAGCCTCCTAGAATGCACTTTCTGGGATGGCGCACAGGCATATTCTATAGTATTGTCCCAGATCTCTTCTATGGTTTGAAAATGATGTCCTTTTAACAAGGCTTTAAGTTAGGAAATGGAAAAAGAGAATACTAGAGTGGGTGGGGCACAACAAGAGTGTTATGATTTGCTAAGTAGCTGTGGGCAAGCAGCAACACGCAAGCCAGCACATTGTCATGGTGCAACATCCAAACCTGGTTTTCCTACAATTAGGGCCTACTGCACACAGAATTTATCAAACGTGTTAGAATTCCCTGGTAGACTTCCTTGTTTACCATCTGAACATGAGGTAAAAATTTCTGATAAACAATGCCTTTGCAGTAAAAATGCAAACATCCCCTCCATCTTTGACCAACTCATGCGTGTTTTTTTTTTTTTACGAGAACCTTTGCCCACCCACTGTGATGACTGTGCCTTCGTTTCATTATCTTGCCACAAACCCATCTCATGACCTGTTATGATATTGCTAAGAAAGTTTCATTCAGCAAAGGTTTTCTTCATGAAATTTCCACACTCAAAAGTGGGTGCAGGAGTCAACAAGAGGCCAGGTCTTACAGAAGAAAACGTAGTAAATATGGCTGCCATTTAGAGAATGTAACACAGAAAAAATGATAGACTAAGGAATGAAATAGTACTACATTAAAGCTTATTCTGGCGCATGGCATTGTAAAGCCACCTATAGGTTATTATTACCTTCATATCGTATTGAGGCATTACTTGGTGAATATGTCTTGTAGGCTTCATGCGCTTGTAATGCTGATCCTCTTCTCACAGGCGCTGTACTGTCTGGTTCCTGGAAATGAAAAACAGAGTAACAAAAAGAGTTCATGTTTTTCCTAATGTGCCAGTACGACAAGGGTGCATGAGGTATATGTAGTCGCAGTTCTCATGCCATTTTGTAGAGGATTATCTCGCGTGTCATTTTTTAGCAATGATTATCTTGATTACCTTGAATCGTAAGAGAAAAAAACCTTTAGGACCCACAAATATGCAACCCACAAAAGCTGACTGAACCTAATGCATAACCAAAATAAAAATTGAATATAGCTATATTATTTATACAATATCTAACAGTTCAAAAACATTGGCGAAACACTTTTTATCAACAGTGCTACATTTCTGCTACCTCTTAGAAGCCTGTGGTACTTAACACTTAACTCTTTGCATCCCACGACCAATTTAGTAGCGCAAGTAAATATTTCATTGCATACACCCAGTTATAACACATAAGGAAGAGGAAATAAGCCTAAGACCTGAAACATTTAGCTTTATTTCTAGAAGCCATATATGTGGATGCTGGAAACACCAGTAATGCTAGGTTCATCATCCTCGTTCATCATACATGGAAGCTTTGCTTGCAATAGGCTGAACACATTAATTCAGTATCATCATCCCTACTTATCCCAATTAATGTCTTCATCAGTTCAATGCATCAGTGTTGCAGAATGGGTGCCTCCATTCCATTCCAATTTTATTTCGGGGTTGACGAAATTTCATTCCTTGCAATGTTTTGGAATGAAAAAAAAATTAGCCCATTCCCACTCCTGTAATGGCCAGGCAGTTCAATTCTATTCCTGTAATTCCTCTATGTAGGAAAAGTGTTCATAGTTTCATCAAGTTAAGAATGATTGCCCCATAAAGCTGATGTCATCAATAAAAAAGCAACTACAGAAGCTCTTTGGTGTTTCATGTGAGAAATTGCACTTTTTATCGTATAGGGATGGACTCAATACACCATGAACACAGAGTGCAGACTAACAACTATTTTATTTCCAGATGTTTTCCTAACATATATACACAAAGGAAGGCATCGCATAAAATTTGACGCCAAAAAAAAAAAGTGTTCACATATGATAACAGCTGTTTTTATAAACCAAATTTCTTTTGAAGAAAGAATAATACTGATACATTTGTTGCTGGGTCCTGTGTCATATAAGATTCAGCTATGACTCGTTCTACGTTATCATGAACCTGACACAAGATAGTGGTCTTGGCGAAAAAGCTGTGTACATTGACGCTGCAATATAGGTGTAGCTAGATTGCCCGGATGCATCATGAGTTGACAAGTGACTGCCATAGAGCCGTGGTTACGTGAAGAATATAAAGAACAGACAAACTTCGGAGCAACACAGCCTATATACGGACAAAATTGAGTAGGTGCATTGCCTCTAAATGCACATGTGGTTGTAATCAGCCATGCCATCTTAAAAATACTGCTTTATTATTCAATTCAAGGCTCTGACTTACTAATGCTCGAAGTTCGAAAAACAACACATAACGAAAACATGCTCTATTTTCAGCAAAAGACGTCATTCTACTCCCATTCTATTCTGAGCAAAAGGCTCTTAATTTCATTCCCATTCAATTGAGGGATCATGAAAATGTGGAATGATTCCGGAGTCATTCCGATTCAAGAGTGGCAGCACCACAACAGTGCAACGCATTCATCATTAATATTATCGTAATCCCCATAAATATTGACGTGACCACTTGCTAACAGCTCTGATTCCAGACTTTCACCATTAATGTTAAATATCACCATCATCAGCACGTAAATCTACATCTTCAACGCCTTCACCACCACCACCAATCATCCTTTATGGCCAAGTTGCTTGTCCACGGCTCCAATTAAACATGTTCATCATATTGGTAATGATGACCATCATTACCAATGCCCTCATGGTTACGTTCAAACTGAATACTTTCATCATCAACAGCAGCATTGTTCAAGCGACCTTTGCCTGTTGATGGCTCTGCTTCAGCCCATCAATTATCAGAGCTATCAAAGCGCCAGATAGCAGCGAGCCTCTGCAGAGAGGGTGCTATCATAGGAAGCCAAGGACTATTTTCAGCAAAAGACGTCATTCTACTCCCATTCTATTCTGAGCAAAAGGCTCTTAATTTCATTCCCATTCAATTCAGGAATCATGAAAATGTGGAATGATTCCGGAGTCATTCCGATGCAAGAGTGGCAGCACCACAACAGTGCAACGCATTCATCATTAATATTGTTACGTCTACGAGGGGTTTATTCGAAGCAGACGTAACGGTCGACTCGACGGTATACCGCAGTGAACGGGCAGCAGCGAGCTTTTTCCACCAACCGAACGTCCTCCTCTTCTCCTACCACCATGTTCCCCGCTACACAGGTGCACATACCTAAATTACACATGTGGTAACATTTCCCTCCGCGCAGACGAGGCCCGCTGGGCGAGTCAAACAGTCTCTCGAGGAATAAAGCGCTTCAAACGTGCAACATGGACAAGTTCAGTTTTTGAAGACCGTCGGGCGTTTGAATGGAGACGCGCTATGCGGTAAACTAAATCACTGATACGGTCTACAACAAGATAAGGTCCCGCATAGTGCGCTAGCAGTTTCTCGCTCAAACCGCGTTTTCTAGTTGGTGTCCAGAGCAGCACTAGGTCACCGCAATTGTACGTCACGTGCCGGCGTCGGCGGTCAAAATGTGCCTTCGAGCGGTCTTGCGAAGCAAGAGTGCGCAAATAAGCAAGGCGTCTAGCTTCTTCTGCCTGACAGATGATCTCGGATATGCAAGGATCATGATGGTCCAAACACGGGAAGATTGTATTCAGGGTATGACGAGGTGGTCGAGCATATAGAAGAAAGAAAGGACTGTAGCCGGTAGTTTCATGCTGAGCGGTGTTGAATGCATATGTGATAAAGGGTAGAATGCTGTCCCAGTCCTTGTGATCGGATGCAACATACATAGACAGCATGTTCGAGAGAGTTCTGTTCGTCCGTTCAGTTAGACCGTTCGTTTGGGGATGGTATGGCGTAGAGTGCCGAAACCTTGAAGCACAGACACGAAGCATCTCTTCCATCACGTCTGCTGTGAATTGTCGGCCACGGTCACTGATTACGATTTTGGGAGGCCCATGTCGAAGAATGACAAAACGTAGCATGAAGGAAGACACATCAGCTGCAGTTGCCGATGGTATGGCAGCGGTCTCGCAGTACCGTGTTAAATGGTCGGTGCAAACGACTATCTAGCGATTTCCATCAGAAGACCGGGGAAAGGGTCCAAGGAGGTCAATCCCGACTTGCTCAAATGGAGTTCTAGGGGGCGGCACCGGATGTAATCGCCCTAAAGGAGCACTTGTTGGGCGCTTATGACGTTGACACTTGTTGCAGCTAGACAGATATTGTTCTGTCGTGTGGCGCATTTTGGGCCAGTAGAATCTTTCTTGAAGACGGCAAAGAGTTTTTGCTGTGCCTAGATGACCGGATGTTGGGTCATCATGCATAGCCTGCAAGACATAAACGCGAAGACTCTTCGGAACCACCAGAAGATATCGTGAGCCGGTGTTGGTGTAGTTCTTTTTGTAAACTAGCCCGTCTCGGATGCAGAAGCGCGTAGGCGATGATTTTGGTTTGGTAGCAAGAAGCTGTTGTATGGTGCTGTCCCTTTGTTGCTCATCCTTAAAGGTCTTGTTATCAGGAAATGGTTGGTCGAGTGATGCAATGTAGGTATCGAAGGTGTCGGCGTCACATTCCATCGTTGGAAGCGGTAGTCGCGAAAGACAATCTGCGTCAGCGTGACGTCGGCCGCTTTTATACGAAACCGTGAAGTCATACTCTTGTAGACGAAGTGCCCAGCGCGCCAGCCGACCAGATGGGTCACGCAGATTAACCAACCAGCAGAGAGAATGATTGTCTGTCACGACGGTAAAGGGGCGTCCGTACAGGTAGGACCGGAAGCGCTGCACTGCGAAGACTACTGCGAGGCATTCTTGCTCTGTGACGGCGTAGTTACGCTCGGACTTGCTGAGCGAGCGACTTGCATACGCTACGACGTGTTCTTGATTATCCAAGCGTTGAACCAGGACAGCGCCTACACCAATACCGCTGGCGTCTGTGTGAATCTCAGTGGGAGCGAGAGGGTTGAAGTGTTGAAGAATCGGATGGGACGTCAAAAGAAACTTCAACTCCGAAAAAGCAGACTCGCATTCCGGAGTCTAGTCAAACTGCGCACCTTTCTGAAGCAGACACGTGAGCGGGTATGCAATATTGGCAAAGCGAGGAATGAATCGGCGAAAGTATGAACAAAGCCCCAAAAAGCTGCGCAGTTCTTTCACCGAGTTTGGCTGCTTGAATGCCTCCACTGCGGCCGTCTTGGCGGGACCCGGTCGTATGCCTTCTTTGTTTACTAAGTGTCCAAGGACGAGTGTTTGGCGCTCTCCAAAACGACATTTCTTTGAGTTGAGCACCAAGCATGCTTTGCTTAGGCAGTCCAGTACGAGGCCAAGGCGTGTGTTGTGCTCACAAAAGGTGCGCCCAAAAATTACAACGTCGTCCAAGTAACACATACACACTTCCCACTTCAATCCACGCAGAATGTTGTTCATAAATCGCTCAAAAGTTACGGGCGCGTTGCAGAGTCCGAACGGCATCACATTGAATTCAAATAGTCCATCTGTTGTAACAAATGCCGTTTTCTCCTTGTCTTCCTCGTGCATTGGAATCTGCCAGTAGCCTGACCTCAGATCCACAGACGAAAAGTAAGAGGCCGATGATAGACAGTCGATAGCATCATCAATCCGTGGGAGTGGGTATACGTCTTTTTTAGTGATGGCGTTGAGACGGCGGTAGTCAACACAAAATCGCCATGTCCCATCCTTCTTCTTCACTAGAATTACTGGAGCGGCCCACGGACTACATGATTCCTGAATTACATTTTGCTTGAGCATCTCGCTAACCTGTTCATTGATCACTGCGCGTTCTGACGGCGATACACGATATGGTTTCTGTCGGAGAGGTATGTGAGATGTCGTG